CCCCCCCCCCCCCCCCCGGTGTTTGCCATCAAGGTTGGGTTTTCGTCGCGTGGCAACGACGTTGTAAAACAAGCCAATTCACTTCGTGAACTCGACAGCCAGGTTACCGTTTTGTTTTACCTTTGTTTTTTTTTTGGCGGTAACCATAATGAATGGTGGTCGAGTAGATCATGTTGTGCGGGGTGGAGAACACTCACTCCGCGCAAAGGGGGATGATCGCACCACGTTGTGTTAAATCGGTCAAGCATCCTCACGGCATTTTTTTTTTTTTACCTCGTTTTAACTGTCTGTGGATAACCATAATGGTGGTCGAGTAGAAGTTATACGGCGGGGTCGAGAAACCTCACTCCGCGCAACGGGGGATGATCGCACCACGTTGTGTTAAAATGGTCAAGCTTCCTCGAGGCAGTTACACAGTGCTTACAACTGTCTCTGGAAGTGAAAGCACCAGAAAATAAATTAAGTCATACGTAGCTGTCATCCGTACGCAAGGAAGTAAGCACAAGATGCCGAACACCCTTAGCAGGATGCAGCTCACCCTTCATGCGAAAAAAAACATACCTCACGGCGCTTCGCGCTTGGTGATGTGAGAGCCTGGTCCGGTGAGAACCCGGCGGACACTTGAGAGAGGCGTAGGGGATACGAGGTCAATGGTCAAGAGACTACGGTATTAATTACGCCGACAGACATGGTGCCATGAGGATACAGCAGCACCCATTTTTGGCGGTAGGGTTAACGGGACACAGCAAGAGCAACGTTCTGTCAAGAGGGGGCTAGAGCATATAATACAACGAACGGGTGGGGCGGATGGATCATAAATGAAACACATTGATTTATTTTTCCCCCTCTTCCTGTTCCCCCCCTCGGTGTTTGCCATCGGGATTGGGTTTTTGTCGCTTGGCAACGACGTTGAAAATCAGGCCAATTCACTTCGTGAACTCAGGAACCAGGTTGCCGGGTTTTTTCTTCCTTTTTTTTTTTTGCGGTAACCATGAATGGTGGTCTAGTAAATCATGTTGTGCGGGGTCGAGAACCCTCGCTCTGCGCAAAGGGGGATGATCGCACCACGTTGTGTTAAATCGGTCAAGCATCCTCGAGGCAGTTACATAGAGCTTACAACTAGTCTCTGGAAGTGAAAGCACCAGATATAAGGTAAGTCATACGCAGCTGTCATCCATACGCAAGGAAGTAAGCACAAGATGCCGAACACCCTTAGCAGGATGCAGCGTACCCTTCATGCGACTCGCCGAATACCTCACGGCACTTCGCGCTTGGTAATGTGAGAGCCTGATCCGGTGAGAATCCGGCGTGCTCCGTCCCGGTTTGTAGGGATGCGAAGTCAATGGTCAAATTACTACGGCATGCACCACTGAGTACACCTCCTTTCCTGTGGCGCACAATCAAACAAACGTGGTTGCGCTACAATGGCTTCCAGACAGTAGCCGAGTGCTTTCAGCCACAACACACTTATATCTTGTCTCTACTTCCGATCAAATAACTGTTATAATAGTCTACGTTTTCTCGCCCTACTTACAAGGAATATACAACACCTGCGAATACCTCACGGAGCTTCGCGCTTGGTGATGTGAGGGCCTGGTCCGGTGAGAACCCGGCGTGCTCCGTCCCGGCTTTGTAGGGATGCGAGGTCTATGGTCTAACGACTACGGCATCCACGACTATGAGTACACCCCCCCCTCTTCCTGTGGTGCACAAACAAACATGGTATAGCTTCCAGACAGTAGCCGAGGGCTTTCAGCCACAACATACGTATCTTGTCTCTACTTTCGAGAAAATAACTGGATTATAGTCCAAGTACGTTATCACACTTGCTAGTCCGTGTCTTGTGTCAACAGTTCGCGTTTCGGATCGAATGGCCCGTTTCTTGGGGCTTCGTCTCACGACTGCGCCGAGAACTGTCGGTTCGATCTGTCGGGATCAGGACCATCACCCTACAGCTGGGTGGGGTACGCAGAGTAGACGCTCAGAGCCCACCTCCCGCCACAGGTCTCGTCGGGGGCCGCCGAGCTCCCGGGGCAAGTGAAGTCGCACTCCCCCTCGTCAATTTCGTGGTACGTGTAGGGTTCGTCGTTGTTGCCGCAGAAGCACTGCTCGAAAACCACACACACAACGATAAACATGCACGTTGATTGGTACACAGGGAAGGGGAACACAACAAACACACACGCAGGGCAGGTGTATGCACGCATAAGATGAGGGCGCGTGCACGAAACAAAAACTGGACACACAAATCAAGAAAGGAATGACTATTACTGTATTCTACTGCTGCGTGTGTGCCGTGGTTGTATGTATGTATACATGTGTGTGCATGTATGCATGCATGTGTAACATGTATGTATGTTGTGAATATGTATGTGTGTGCTAAAGATGATTCGTTGGGAGTTTTGTTGCGGAATACCAGCGACGGGGGTAAAGGCGCCGGGGGGGGGGGGTACTCTTAGTCGTGCATGCCGTAGTCGTCAGACCATTGACCTCACATCCCCACAAAGCCGGGACGGAGCACGCCGGGTTCTCACCGGACCAGGGTCTCACATCACCAAACGCGAAGCTCCGTGAGGTATTCGGCGAGTCGCATGAAGGGTGCCCTGCATGCTGCTAAGGGTGTTCGGCATGTTGTGCTTACTTCCTTGCAAACGGATGACTTAATTTTTTTTCTGGTGCTTTCACTTCCAGAGACAGTTGTAAGCACTGTGTAACTGCCTCGAGGAAGCTTGACCATTTTAACACAACGTGGTGCGATCATCCCCCGTTGCGCGGAGTGAGGTTTCTCGACCCCGCACAACATGATCTACTCGACCACCATTATGGTTACCGCCAAAAAAAAAAACGAGGTGAAAAAAAAAAACGGTAACCTTGGTTGCCGAGTTCACGAAGTGAATAGGCTTGTTTTACAACGTCGTTGCCAAGCGACGAAAACCCAATCCCGATGGCAAACACCGAGTGGGGGGCTTGTTTTACAACGTCGTTGCCAAGCGACGAAAACCCAAACCCCGATGGCAAACACCGGCGGGGGCGGCTTGTTTTACAACGTCGTTGCCAAGCGACGAAAACCCAACCCCGATGGCAAACACCGGGGGGGGGGGTCACATCACCAAACGCGAAGCTCCGTGAGGTATTCGGCGAGTCGCATGAAGGGTGCCCTGCATGCTGCTAAAGGTGTTCGGCATGTTGTACTTACTTCCTTGCGAACGGATGACTTAATTTTTTTTCTGGTGCTTTCACTTCCAGAGACAGTTGTAAGCACTGTGTAACTGCCTCGAGGATGCTTGACCATTTTCACACAACGTGGTGCGATCATCCCCCTTGCGCGGAGTGGGGGTTCTCGACCTCGCACAACTTGATATTCTCGACCACCATTATGGTTACCGAAAAAAATACAACAGAGGTAAAAGAAAACGGTAACCTGGTTGCCGAGTTCACGAAGCGAATTGGCTTGTTTTACAACGTCTTCGCCAAGCGACGAAAACCCAATCCCGATGGCAAACACCGGGGTGTGTGCTACATTAGGCCCCGACATTGTGATTTGTGATTTGGGTGTGGGCGGGGGGATAACAGGGGAAGGGGGCAACACTTACCTCTTGGCCGTATTCGGTTGCAGCCCAGGCATATCCAAAGCTAGCACAGTGGTCCACGCATAGCTTCAGCATCACGAAGAGAACGCGGGAGTCGCATAAGAGGATCGCGACACGCAAATAACGGCCGGGTGGGGACGGGGGCGTGGGGTGGATTAATGGTGCTTGCTGGCTTGGCGGACCTTGCTTACCACGCGTTTTACCGCTGGTACGTGTTGCACGAGAAATTCACAAATATTTTCCTTTATATAACAGGGACAACAACAGCAACAGCAGCAACAGTGATACCATTACCACCAGCACCAACAGCAACAAAAACCACACAACAGGCCACGGGCGAAAAATATCTATGCTAAAAAATCATTGGTTCGGCGTTTGCTGTGGGCGAAAAAGGCAAACAAATGCGACAAAATGTAGCACGCACACGCTCATGTAACCAACTCAATTTTGATTCATCAACGACTCCATCGACCACATCCACCAAATCTTGAACGAACCAACCAAGCAAATACTTGATATTTTTTATATATGCCCACCAATAAACAAAACCGACCTTGTTGGTCATGGCGTCAAACACGAGGGGGTCCCCCGGCATTGCCCGGGGCCGCGCGTCGCGGAAGCAGCCCTCGTAGTCTGTGCCGGTGCCACCGTTCACGGCTTGGATGTCGTACACGGTCATCTTGTCGAACCCTCCGCAGTTCTCTCCTCCGGTTCCCTTGCAGGCCATGTCGCAACTGTCGATGTCCAGCTCCCCGTGCGTCGCCAGGGCCGGGTGGATACCGCACCAGCACTATTAATTGTTTACGTCAATACGGCACAAAAAGGGTCCATAGGAAAAAGGGGTACTCAATATCATGCACACCACGCATCCCTACAATACGGGTACTCTGGGAATACGTTCCAAGTACATTTCGGTTGGATTGCGGTGACAGCTCGGTTGCATTGCAGTTAAACTCTGATTCCTCATGGATGGGTCGCCGTATCTCTTCATGATGGCTATGCACATGAGCTACATTCCGCCAAACATTCCGATCACAGTCCGGTTCCAGTGCGGCCTCTCCGCAGTTAAAATACGGCCTCATCACAGCAGTTTCGTTACGGTTACAGTACGGGATTCACGGTCACACTGCGGCTGGAAAGCGGACCCTCTAAGGGCATACACTACGGGACCACTAGATGTGTATCATACGTACACACATACATACCTCTCTCCCGAACTGGGTGCCGAAGTGCGTGTTGGTACCGTCATTGCACAGGTCGTAGCAGATCTGCGCGCGCCAAGCACCAATCCAAATAGGCGAGAGTCCTCAGCGATATGTCCCAAATTCATAGATATCATACGTCCTTACCAAAAACGCAGAAAACAAATAAACTAGCAGTAGTCTAATTACGTCGCAACACAACGAGGAAAATCATCGAGAGGGTATGTAGCCTACTTGATGAATATAAACAGTATTTCCCTGCTGTAGAAATACAGAATGGGCTATATGCATAGGGCGCCGGTGGTCGGAGAGGTGCAGGCAGGCACTACTGTCGGTTGCGTTCTGACAACATTCATACACACGATGGCAAAAACAAACCCACTTAATGAACAAAAGGAGGATGAGGTAAACATAGCCCGGAAAAAACGGCGGTTGAACAAAATAACCACCTATCCATCTATTTATCTCTCTTCGACCCCTCACCCCCGCGACCCGGCATGCGCCCGTGACCCCAGCACTCATACGCACACTGCCGTATGTATGTAGACCGTAGATAGATGCACACAGCACACGTACACGGTGCAACTCACATCTGCAGACATGATAGGCTTCGACTGTTTGTCGAACATGATCCGAAGGCTCCGGCTGTCCGCGTAGCACCCAACCAGGACGAAGTCGTCTAGGTGGTCCCCTAAAATCAAGAAAATGACAGAGAAGAACACGTTGTCAGTGCGATCGATCGATACAAGGGCCGGGAGGGCCAACAGAGGATCCCGCCCTCCATTTTGAGGATGGAAAGTGTGGTGCGGCGAGACTAAGGTGATGATGCCGGCACCAAGATATTGTTGGGAATGGGAAGGAAAGGTGAATGCGTGGGTGTGGTTGAAGAAAGGTGTTGTTGAAGAAAAGGAGGGCCATAGAAATTTCTCAGTGACAACGCACACAACAATCACACGAATGTTAGCCACAGCCTTTAACACGAACGTCTACTCGAGCCAAGCAATAAATCAAAGAGTGCGGCTGCTGTGTGCGCCTGGTGTGCATGTGTATATGTGCATATAAAACCGTTTCGTTCGCCACATTTCTTATTTCTTTGTCACGCTCCCAACACCCTTTCATCTAGCAGAATCTCAGATTTGTTTTTGAGTGGGCTGCATCTATCTCTGTTATCTACTGTCTGGGTGGGTATGTATCGTGTGCATCCATGCCACCAACCAAAAGCAAAGCGGATGACATGGGATGAACAACCAGCAGAAATGAATGATACATCGGCAGGTTTACGTCATCACACGCAATGTCTTGTATTTAAGGCGGAAGCAGTCGGACAATCGCACACTCTTGATTTAATTCCCATGAGTGCGGTGCGGGGTATTTTCGCCACTCAGAAACTCTTGATTTCATTCCCATGGGTTGTCGGAGAGAGAGGGGGGGTTGGGGGGTGTACTCATAGTCGTGCATGCCGTAGTCGTTTGACCATTGACCTCGCATCCCTACAAAGCCGGGACGGAGCACGCCGGGTTCTCACCGGACCAGGCTCTCACATCACCAAGCGCGAAGCGCCGTGAGGTATTTGGCGAGTCGCATGAAGGGTGAGCTGCATGCTGCTAAGGGTGCTCGGCATCTTGTGCTTACTTACTTGCGTACGGATGACAGCTACGTATGACTTAATTTATTTTCTGGTGCTTTCACTTCCAGAGACAGTTGTACGCACTGTGTAACTGCCTCGAGGAAGCTTGACCATTTTAACACAACGTGGTGCGATCATCCCCCGTTGCGCGGAGTGAGGTTTCTCGACCCCGCACAACATGATCTACTCGACCACCATTATGGTTACCGCCAAAAAAAAAAACGAGGTAAAAAAAAAAAACGGTAACCTGGTTGCCGAGTTCACGAAGTGAATTGGCCTGTTTTACAACGTCGTTGCCAAGCGACGAAAACCCAATCCCGATGGCAAACACCGAGTGGGGGGCTTGTTTTACAACGTCGTTGCCAAGCGACGAAAACCCAAACCCCGATGGCAAACACCGGGGGGGGCGCGAGAGGGGGGGGGGGGGGGGAAAAGAAAGGCGGGGGCCAAGGGGCCAAAAACCCCCAAAAATTTCACCTCCCGGAAATTTTTACCG